CCATTTTCAAAAGACTATTAAAGCTTTATTGGGAACATTTTAATTACATGATATGAGTGATTTTGGTTGGTGAAATCCTTTGTGAAAAATTATTTTTGTAATTTGGCATGCTCAATCCGGGCCCGAGCTTCTGCGAGTATGCTGATGAAATCGAGAGGCACTTGTGAGTGACTTACATTTCATTCCAGCTCATCTATGGCCTAGGATTAAATTTTCTCCATACCAGATAATTGTTTCGAGTACTACTAAAGCAGCTCATAAAGAATAAACTATCCTTCTACTTATTCTATCCCCACAGGGTGTAGTAGGCCCTGGTCGCTTCTACTTTGAAGTCCGTCAAATTGAATCCAGTGGTCTTGCTCGCGTTGGTTGGGCTCTCGAAACAGCTAGCCTAGACCTGGGCTCAGACAGTCTTGGGTACGGACACGGCGCTGACTGGGATGGCTTCGGTATCAACGGTAAACAGGGAAAGAAGCTGCATGATAATGAAATTATGAACTATGGAGAGGTAAGCTTAAAATTTGTTTATAACGAGACATTTATTATCGTTCATATGTGCAGCTCAAATAAATGGATTGTAAATTCCCCTTGTTAAGTATCGAATGATGCTTGCTTTTAACCTTCGTCGAAATTTTTTAGTCACAGTTAGTCAGCTTGAAATACTTAGAGACATCGGCTTTTAAAATATTTCAAATTTTGAAGATGCATGCTATGTTTGCAATGTGTCCTCATTCTGGAAATCTCCGCTATATATAGGGCACGAATTCTACTTGTGTTTCGATTATTATCACACGAACTACAGCATTCCAAGCTATAACTTGCTCAAATAACTGAAAAGCAGACCAAGATATGATCAAGCCGTCCTATAGATCTATTAATTACAAATTTTTTAAATATTTTTAAGACATTTTATAGCATAATCGAAAAGGTTAAATCTTTTTTAAGCTGATATTATGTAATTAGTATGAAATCCTCATCAAATGTGCCGCTGAAGATTGCTGCTGTAAAATGTATATTTATGAATCCTAATTTCAATTTTAAGTGGAAACTTAATATTTGCATTAGTACTTTAAAATGCCAAAATATTTTATTTTTATCTTAAATCTATTAATTACAAACAATTTAAATTAATTTTGCAATTTCATTTGTTTCATCAACTCTCATTTAAATCCTTATTCTGCATTGTCTTCTGAAACCCACAACTTGCAGAGCACAAGCTTTTTGCTTTG